TTCGAAAAACATCTTCTTTAACGAAATTTTTATTCTTTTTAATTAGATGATTCTGTTGCGAGTTACGTTGAACACCGCAAATCCAATTTTTGTACGAGGCGCCTGAAGAGATTTACAGCCAATCGTTCAATTTGCAATATTTTTCAATGGGAATTTAGGAAAATATACTTCAAATATTGTATTAATATGTGGAAATTAAGTTAATAAAGTAACACACTTTATATCACCGAAAAAACTATTTAAAAAGTGCCTTTTTACACCGAATTAACCATACCCCCCTTAAATTGAAAAAACAAGGTCAAAAATGAAAAAAGCATTTCTTATTTTGTCAGACATTTTACCTTGTGATGTAATGATGTCAGTAACGTCGATCTTTGGAGCAAGATCAAACATATTCACTGGTATTGGGGTAAGATCAATATTTATGTATATTAGAGTAAAAATGAATTAATGAATTAATAACCGCTGAAAAACAATTATTAATGACATGATGCGTTCATCATTAATTTAATACAAACCAAAAGAAACGTTAATTATACACTAAACATTTAAAAGAAAAATAAACAAATGATATTTTGAAACATTATCAAATTGCTTGAATTAATTAATCTTACAATATATTTTTAAAAAATGCATTAAAATGAAGAAGGTAATTCTTAAAATCAGTAGAAAATCATTGGTAACAACCATGTATTTTCTGCGCTTATCTCAACATATGAGTGTTGTTGTTCTCATGAGAAATTAATATTTTGGAAGAAAAAAACTAAAAATTTCACTAATTGCTCTGTAATTTGGCTTCTTTATTGCCAATCGATTTGCTTACATTGCTTTTATATAAATAATTATTAACCTATTGTACTGAAAATATTCTTTTGAAATAAATCTTTTTCGCTTCCTAAACACGTGTTAATAAATGTACTATATATGTAATGTACACATGTTCTTTATAACGTAGTTTACAGAAAAAGTGAATCATTTTTACATGTTACTACCATAAGTTATTAAATATGAGACTCCGATTGTAAACTTTTGTAATATAGTTATTGTTTGTACTTTATTTAAAAACAATAAAATTTTATATAAAAAAATATTTTTAATATTTGTACAGTATGAAAAACATAATTAAAAGTCTTAAACCAAATAATGAATTTAGTACAATATTAATTTACAAATAAATTAAACACATATGAATAACTTCATATATATTACAATTAAATAAAACGTAACGTTAGCCTATATTCATAATTAATTCATTAATTACCCATAAAAAAAGTTTTGATTGCAATTACTCGCAAGTTGTTACTTTAGTGTTTTCAGAATAACTGATTACAAATATGATATTTGTTTCTAAAATTTCAAAATGGTGTTTAGGAAATAATATTTTAAAAAAATTTTATAAGGGGTCTTCCATAACCACGTGGCCAATTTAGGGGGAGGGGGGGTGTCATTAAAATGCTACTCTTGACCACGATAGGGGGGAGGGGTTTCACTTCGGGTCACGTGGCTTTGAGATTTTAGATCTCTTTTTGAATTTACGCGGACTAACCGCGCTCATGCGCATTGATATGATATAAATATAAAATTAAAAACAGTCTTTTAAGCTTCATGAAATCTAATTTTTAGTATCCTTTTAACCAAATGCATATTATGAGTCTTGTGTGTATCAGTGGCAATATAGAGGTCTGAGGTAACTGTAAAAAAACTAAATTGATTCCTTCAATTGGAAAGATTTTATTAATAATTTAGTAAAGTGATCACTTTTAGTGAAAAAAAGTAGTACCCGGTTGTGGGCACCCTAGGAGAATCCGCAAAAAAATGATAAAAAATAAAAGAAAACCATCATAATTGAAATGAAAATGATAATTGCTGAACAACACGGGATATTCCAATCACATTCCTGGAATATTTCATTCATTGGGAATATTTTAAAATAATATTCCATTTACATTCCAGGATCGAGCATAAAAATAACCAGTTTTTGAAATATTCTTTTGAAATGTTGCAAGAATATTTGGATATTTCATAGGATTACTTCAGGAATATTCAAATAAAAAATTATAAAAATATTATAATATGAATAATGCATCAATATTATTGAAAAAAATAAAAATTACATCATATTTTTCGAACTTACAAGAATATTCCAACATTAGAACATGAAATATAAATAACAATAATAATGACAAATAATTGTTAATTTGACATCATGTTCGTAATCAGCGACCCGAAAAACCCTGTTATTGCCATTTTCGTTAAAAATAATTACTTTTAAGAAAAGTTGACAGTTTAATTGACAAGTGCCAACGGCCAATTTGACATCATAATCGCAATGAAAACCGAAAACCCATATAACGTCAATTTTGTTAAATATAATTATTTTTTAGAAACTTCGACTGTTGCATTCACAGCTGTCAACTGTCAAATTGTCAATTCGACATAAAATTTATAATCAGCGATTTTGAAAACACCTAGTATGGTGTTTCATTAGTTTATACGTAATATCAATTTTTCTTCGGTGTTAAAAGATTAATTAAATATACGCGTTAATTGGAAAAAAGGGTACCCACAACCGGAACATTCACCTTTTTTTAAAAAACCAACAATTTATGTAGTTTTGATTTTTTGGTCAAATTCAAAATTAAACCACAAAATATAATGTAAACAGTTAACAAAAAAAATTGCATTCACCTTTTTTTAATAATTTACACCTATTTAACACACTTGGAAAAAAGTAAAAAATCACTTTTTCCTTCATTTTTTCAAGATATTTTTATTATGCTGTTTCTAAAAAAATGTGCGTATCGCTTCGGTATTAATACAAAAACAGTTTACTGTCAACATACAAGTTTGACCATATTCAGATCAGCAATATCTAACTGCTGCACGGTGGGTTTTAAGCGATTATTATGAAAAGTCAAAATAACCAAGATTTTTCTTTTGGGATGTTTTCTACAACAAAAAAGAAGATGTTTGCAACAAAAATGAAAATCATCCATCGGTTCCTTTTTGAGAAAATTGATTTTTTCTACAAAATCGGATGATTTCTCGCTTTTGAATAGTTTCACGCAAATAATGTTTAAAATTGCATATAATTATATATATATATATACTCTGTTCCTGGAGAGATTGATATTTTTCAGGACGAATTTGAGCCCTTTACGCGCAGAAAACTATAAAAGGAGGCGTATATTATTTTCCGTTTCAGCAAATAAGCTTTCTCTTTCAATTTCTTTTAAATTTGAAGAAACATGTTTATTGACAACTAAATTTTTTTTATCCATTTTAGGGTCGTTTAGATTTTATTTTATTTTGACGATTCCAACGATATAAATTTTTACGTCTTAATATTCAAATTTGCTTTAGGAAAAGTTATACAATTTCATGATTTACATATGTACAAACTCTAATCTTATAGTATTTACAAAAAAATATATACCGTTGTAATTGTTTTAACCTGTACATTGCAAATATAATATTTATATAATTATTTTTTTAAATTCCAACAATTTTTAATTTTGCAATGAAAAGCCATAAAACCATAAAAGACCCTTCCGACTGCCTTTTGGAGACCAGGCTCGCAGGTCACAAAAATTTTAAATATGTTTGCTTGATTTTAGTTTTAGGAAAAGCAACATATGTTACAATCCTTTTCATATCATTGGCTATGTTTTTCAGAAAAAAAATTTAGAAAACGCCTTCTTCACTTAAAAAGACACCCTCGTACAATAAGATGCGCAGAAAAATATCGATCTCTCCTGGAACAGAGTATATATATATATCTACCTATATTACAAAAAGATATCGCCGCCCTTGTGGATTGGGTAAACCGACATGTAACCGTATTGGGTTACGATTCGGTTACGTTTCGGTTACTTGTGAAAAATTGTCGTTAATCGACGAAATATGTTGTAAATAACTATTAGGAATGGTTAATAGACATTTAGAGGTCTTATTTATACAATAATAACAATAAATTAAGATATAATTACTCAATAATAAGTGTTTTAAGTGTACAATGCATACAGTTGTTGAGTTACCATATATGTATATTACCATCAGCGACAGCTGTGATACGCGCGTTAAACACTAGATGGCGTTGAAGATTACTTTGTGAATGAATTTCTAAAATCAAACACTTGAGTGTGAAATGTGTATGTGAATATAAGTTTTAAAAAAATAGATCGATTTATTAAAACAACTTTTTTCATTTCTACAAATATAAAAAAAAATTTTTCTCAATAAAAATTTTTTTTTTCTCAATGACATGAGAAAAATTAATTGTGACACAAAGAAATCTATTTTTCCCTAAAAAAATTCTTTTCTTAATAATAATTTTTTTTTCACAATAAAATGAAAAGATTAATTTTTACACAAACAAATTTTTTTCTTAATAAAAAATTTTATTTTTTCAATGAAATGAGAAAAAGTAATTGTGACACAAAAGAAACTTTTTTCCTCAATAAAATAAGAAATATTAATTTTGAAAAATAGTATATTACGATACGAGGCCAGAAAGTTGGATTTTCTGGCAGGCGAAATATATAGGGCCTCGGCTTCGCCTCGGCCCTATATATCCCCCGCCAGGGCATCCAAATATCTGGCCGTGTGTCGTATACTATTTTTCTGTATCCCCATCCGAAAGTACAATCAATAAATAATGTTAATTAATAAAATAGCGTTGTGTTCGTTTGTAGTTCTGTGGCCGATCGTGTTAGCCCGCTCTCGCAGGCACCTAGCGAAACATTTGGTGGAATGTGCTTGGACCATCCGCTTAACAGATTGCCCGCCCGACTTTTGCAAAGTCGAGGAAAAGCCGAGATCTTTGCTGGTCGGGGCGGGCATAAAAAATGCGTACTATATGTAAAATATCAACATAAAGTAATAAAATTCAAAAACTAAGGAAAAGTGTAAAAAGTATAGTAAAAAGTCAGAATTTTGTTTTAAATTTACTCATATAAAATCTTTATTTTTAATAATATTAATTTACATTGCGTCTAATTTTTTATTTGCATTATTCGTTTGTTTTTATTTTTCTCTTACTTTAAGAGATTTTATAAATTATTTTCTTTATTGCAATTACACGAAGTGACGTTAAAAACACAATTGTTAAACGTGCAATTTTCAAATTTCAAATCATGTTTTTTTAATGCTGAATTTATGTCATTGCGATTTTGGTTGTCCAAATTTTCAAAACTTTTTTCGCTTTTTGGTGGCTGCACTGTTGATTGATTTTTAAATTTCAATTTTATTCCCGGTTTGGCAGAAAACAATTTACTACTGCCATTGTTTTGATTTACAACTGGTAAAATTATTGGATTTCTGTTTGCTGTGGTAAACTCACTTATTACAGCTTTACCTGGAAAAAATGTTATAAAATGAAAAATTACATTTAAGTATATAAAAATAATAAAAAAATTTATTTATTTATTTTATTTATTTTATTTATTTTATTTATTTTATTTATTTTATTTATTTTATTTATTTTATTTATTTTATTTATTTTATTTATTTTATTTATTTTATTTATTTTATTTATTTTATTTATTTTATTTATTTTATTTATTTTATTTATTTTATTTATTTTATTTATTTTATTTATTTTATTTATTTTATTTATTTTATTTATTTTATTTATTTTATTTATTTTATTTATTTTATTTATTTTGTAAGTTTATTTACCTGAATCATCAGAGAAATCGTTCCAATTCAAATTACATTCAGATTCGAGAGGTTCGATGGTTACTTGCGCTTTATCCGATGGATTTGTTGTGGATTTTTGAATGATCCCATCAAAAATCAGTTGCCGGTTATGCATAGAATTTTCTAGGTAACCCTGTGCGATTAAATCGGATCGCCATCTTCCCAGTTGTTTAACCATTTGCATGTTTCCACCAGAATCAGAAAGAAGCGTCGCCGCTGAACGTCTGAAGCAGTGTCGAGTATATTTTTTCGCATTTGGCAGTTCTAAATAGAAAGCAATTTTTTCCGGCACTTCTCCTATTTTATGCCTTCCAATAACTTGGCGGAAACATTTACCATCTTGGTATCTGACGAAAAATCTATCGCTAAATTGTCCAGCTGGTCGCAATGCAACATAATTCTGAACTTTGACGTAGAAAAGTTTTCCAATAATGAATTGTACAGCGTAATCATTTTTGTTGCCAATGACTGACACTAAATATTTATCCTGCAAATCTTCAACATCGTCGACCTTCATGTTTGTTATTTCGGCACAGCGCAAGCAACCGCAAATTCCGAAGATAAGGATAATCTGAAAACATTAAAACCATGTAACTAAATTCTTAAACGTTCAAATGAACCAAATATTTTTTCGTTTAGATATTTTCAAAAATAATTGCACTTCAATAAGAAATAAAAAATAAATTCAATATTTATTAGGTAAATATTTATTATTTTTTTTAATATTCGAAGTAATATTTTGTAATAAAATTCAAACTTAAAAAACCAGCAAAAATGAATTATAATTATTATTATTATAACATCCAACAGGTGCAGTATTACATGGTGGCCATTGGTCAGGGAAAACCTGGAAGTCAGGGAAAAAAATTCGAGTCAGGGAAGTCCGGGAATTTTACAATTACTCAGGGAAAAGTCAGGGAATTTTTTAATAAGTCAGGGTTATTTTTGACAAATAAAAATTCTCTAATTTTTAGTGAGAAAATTCAAGAAAAAGAGGTCAGGAAAAATCAGAAAAAGGTCAGGGAAAAGTCAGGGAATTTTTTCGACTGAATCCGGAGCTTCGTTCATGAACTTAAGGATTTGATTCCATCGTAAAACTAGAGATTTCTTTGGCTTGTAACCCTTAGCATTTGCTTTTATGATACTCTTCATGTTTAGAAAATTGGTAATATTGATATTGTCCTTTGCACTTAATGTTTTCCGTAGCATACTCCACACACTCCACAATGTTGGCGGTTTTAATTTTTTCTTTAATTGTTCAAAATACACAATTAAATTGTTTTCTTCTGAGCTGGACAAGGAAGTTTTATTCTCTTCTCGCCATTTCTTATACGTGTTATAGACGAGCAAGTATCGATCGGAAGATTTTTTTGGTAACGTTTCACTATGCACGATAAGTTTTGCCTCACTATCGAAATTTCGCAAGATTTCATCCTCGTCTGAGGAACCTTCCGATGAAGAGTTTTCCATGCTGGAAGTTTTGCAAGTAACACTACAAATTAATACACTATCGAAATTTGCACGCGAGGAAGTCTTGTCTCTTAACAAAACATTACTTGAGTTTTGTTATCAAGCGTTGCTATACGGTTGCTATGATGGCCAGACTCAAAAATCTCGTAGCCAATCAGAGTGCGTATTGACTCGAGCCGGTCACAAAAGTCGCTCTTCCTGGTAGCAAATCCCACCAGGAACTTCGTACTTTCGGGGAGGGGAGACAGAAAAAAAAATTTTTTCTAAATAAAAAAATTTCTTTTCTCAATGAAAGGAGAATGATTAATTTTGACAGAAAAAAAAATTTTTGTTCCTAATAAAATTTTGTTTTTATTTGTACAAATGAAAAAAGTTGTTTTAATAAATCGATCTATTTTTTTAAAACTTATATTCACTTACACATTTGACACTCAAGTGTTTGATTTTAGAAATTCATTCACAAAGTAATGTTCAACGCCATCTAGTGTTTAACGCGCGTATCACAGCTGCCGCTGATGGTAATATACATATATGGTAACTCAACAACTGTATGCATTGTACACTCAAAACACTTATTATTGAGTAATTATATCTTAATTTATTGTTATTATTGTATAAATAAGACCTCTAAATGTCTATTAACCATTCCTAATAGTTATTTACAACATATTTCGTCGATTAACGACAATTTTTCACAAGTAACCGAAACGTAATCCAATACGGTTACAACTAGGTTTACCCAATCCGCCAGGGCGCCAACGCCGCCGCTGTTCCAAGACTCTGAATATAGCCGCAAGTCAAGAGAAGGGGGGGTAGAAGAAAAGGGTAGGGGGGACTTGAGGCTATATTCAGAGTCTTGAAACGATCTTAACCTTTAAATTTAGGGTTGGGGGACGGGAAAAGGAGGGGAAGAGAGGAGGGGGGATGGGAGTTGAAGCGCGAAGCCGCTGTTCAAAGACTCTGAATATAGCCGCAAGTCAAGAGAAGGGGGTAGAAGAGAAGGGGGGGACTTGCGGCTATATTCAGTCTTGAAACGATCTTAACCTTTAAATTTAGGGTGGGGGAGGGGAAGAGAGGAGGGGGGATGGGGGTTGGCGCGCGAAGCGCGCAGGGGGCGTAGCCCCCTAGTATATATATATAATTATATGCAATTTTAAACATTATTTGCTTGAAACTATTCAAAAGCGAGAAATTATGCGATTTTGTAGAAAAAATCAATTTTCTTAAAAAGGGACCGATGGATGATTTTCATTTTTATTGCAAATGTTACATCCCGAGCGAAAGGCGAGGTTGAATTTAATTTTAATTAATAAAATCAATTTTAAAATTTTGGAGGAATGGTAGGCTGATTAAGTCAAGTTGGTAAAGCTTGACCATTTATTTTTATGTGAGAACGTTTGTTCCTATCGATCCTACGGGGGTCGTCTTTTAATTTATTTTACTATTAAATAATTGCCTTGACACTTATCGTTGTTAATTTAAATATGAATTTAGGTATATGAGAATCTCAATGAAGAATTTTATTGATATAAATGTTGTATAATTTATTAATATAAATGAATCAAATCAAAATGTTACAATAATGTTTTATGTTAAAAGATGTTGTTACAAGAATTGTGAATTTTAAAATATAGTACTTACAATTACCTCTGTTTAGAGGGCAGAAACAAATATAAATTGACAAGTTGGCACTTGTCCTTGACGCTGTGAGTTTTTACAACTCCTGAAAAGGAACGGTTGAGACTTCCTCACAGTTTTTTAGTTCGTAAACTCCGAAATGCACACAAGTCACGTTTGCAAAATCGTTAAATTGAGAATACACTAATACGACGATTAACAATAAAATTTAATAAATGACAAGCTTACAAATCTGGCGATGATGATTACTTGCTCTAATACCGAACAACGAGTAAACATATACTGTTCGAGATGCAAGAGTTACAGTCGTAATAATTTTAAAGTAACCGAAGGGTCAAACTCACGATGGTAATTTCACGTTATGAAACGAACTATGAAATGATTCCGGAGCAAATGACAAATGACAATGCATTTGCATGGGTTTTTATACTAGAAAATCATCCTCAGTGGGAGTAAATAAGTTCAAAGATCACCCCATCTCCAAGCTTGACTCTTAGATCTTTCATAGAATTAAGACAATTCTCAGAACTTAGATGGACACCTGCATCCTGTATCGCATAGCGCAAGTATCGCTATTACATCGTCTACAAGCGTCTTCCAATAGTACTACGCTCGAAAACTGTGCTTGCGCCTCGCTAAAGCATACATGAGTCATAAGTCCATTCGTTGCTAGAGAGTATTGTGCGTAATAGTGTCAAATGGCATAGGTATAATTTCTAGGAATTGCCTACCAACAGGCTTTCGATATTCAAGTCAAAGGTTAGCCTATGCTATTTGATACAAGTGAGAAATTGAACATTGCATAGAATTTTATACTTTATGCAGCTGCAAAAACAATTCCTAAGAATTAGCCAAAGAATTGCGTGGAAATCATATTAGGAAAGTTTTTATATTGAGCATTATTCATACTTTTGAATAATAGCGTTTTGTAATCTTAAAATATTGAAAATATGAGGTTTGTTATTTTGATAATAATAGGTAATTGAATTTTATATAATATTGCAAAAAGAAATAATTAATTTTGAAGAATTAGGGCGAAAACTAGTATAGATAGTTTTCGCTCTTGTTCAACAACCACACGCGATTCCTCAGCATAGCCCTTCTGTAGCGGGAGGTCACCTTCGGTGATGCATCTACTCGCTATATCTATATTCACATATCCATGCCTGTACGCACTATATCTATATACATTGTTTGCTCGCGTCGAGTCATAGCATGCAGGCAGAGATATGCATATATATAGATATAGACACATGTAATGATATATATGAGTCAATGCTTCAATATAATATTAGAAATAATTATAATTTTAGATTATCAATTTTGAAAGATTGAGAGTAAAGCTTTGTTTACTATTATTTTTACTACTTATTATATGCGTATATAAATGAAATATATTTTAATATATTTTTAAAATTTTTGTTACTGGGATGTAACACAAACATCGGGTGTACTTCCGAAGTAGGGGTACCTCCGATTTTAATAAAACTTGGTATACTAACGTATTTTGGTGCGCTGATTACGAAAATGATAGTGAAAATTGGCGCAAATTTGATTATCATGGTAAAAACCATAAAAAACACCATAAAATAATGGTTTTTTACGATTATCTCGTAAAAAACAAAAAATTTCGAAAAAAGTTTTAGACAAAAGTTGTAGATCTCAAAAAAACACACATTTTATGTTTTATGCATTTTTTACCAAAAGTCATTATTTTTCGAGAAAAATCCAAAAAACGAAAAACACAATGATAATGAAAACATATACAGCAGTCATGGTTAGACATATTATTTGACTCGTATATAGTATCATATTCACTATTAGTCAGGATCTAACGAATTCCGCAAAATACTTTCGGCCATATCCACCCCCTCTCGCCAAGGTTTTTTTTAAAAAAAAAAGCGAGCAGTACCTTACGCGGCCGAAGGCCGTGTTTACTATTTTGCGTTTACCGCTGCTGTGGACTCCACCCCACAATTTCCGCAAATTACTTTCGGACACATCCACCCCCTCTCGCCAAGATTTCTTAAAAAGAGAAGCGAGCAGTACCTTACGCGGCCGAAGGCCGTGTTTAATATTTTGCATTTACCGCTGCTGTAGACTCCACCCCACAATTTCCGCAAATTACTTTCGGACCATTTTTCTCGAAAAATAATGACTTTTGGTAAAAAATGCATAAAACATGAAATGTGTGTTTTTTTGAGATCTACAACTTTTGTCTAAAACTTTTTTCGAAATTTTTTGTTTTTTACGAGATAATCGTAAAAAACCATGATTTTATGGTGTTTTTTATGGTTTTTACCATGATAATCAAATTTGCGCCAATTTTCACTATCATTTTCGTAATCAGCGTACCAAAATACGTTAGTATATCAAGTTTCATTAAGATCGAAGGTACCCCATACTATATACGAGTCAAATAATATGTCTAACCATGACTGCTGTATATGTTTTCATTATCAT